TCGAATGCACCACGAAAATCTACAAAAGCAGCATATATCTTAGATTGCCTTTGGGATCTGTATTTTTCAACCAAATGCATAAGTATAAGGCAGTGGTCTAATGTAGAGCAACCTTTGGAGAAACCTATTTGTTCTTTCCCTGGTAAATTTAGATTTTTCATCCAGGTAAGGAGTTTAGATAAAAGGTGCTTAGCGTAGATTTTCCCTATCACTGATAATAAGCTTATCGGTCTATAATTCCTTGGTTCTTTTGGGTCGCCATTTTTAAAGATTGGGATAATTATTGATCTTAACCATATTAAATATATTGCTGCTAAAGCAACTTTCCATTGATTAGGCTGTATGGAACCCTCTAACACCTTATTCCATTCATCTCTAAGATCCTGAATATCCAATTTAGAACATTCCAATAAACATTTATAAACAACTATTGTGGGTTTAGCTTTCTGCAAATATCCAATTATTTCCTCCAGCAATATATGAGATGCTGAGGCAACTCAAAGCTGATGATCCATAAATGGGCACCAGTAGGTGCTGCAGTTGAAGATAATACCATTCAGCCCAAGCAGGTAAGTGGTACCAAAACCTAAACAGAAAAGAACTAAAATTTTCCATCCCATCCAAACAACTGATCAAAGGTACAAGGAGTTAATTTGGCATGAAAATATTGGTCAAAATACAACTGATGAGACATTATATGCCATGCCTCCCTAGCCACTGAAACTACAGGTGGAAAAGAAGAAGAGTTTGGACTTGATATCCTGCCTTTCACTTCCCTTAAGGAGTCTCAAAGCGGCTAACAATCTCCTTTCCCTTCCTCCCCCACAACAAACACTCTGTGAGGTGAGTGAGGCTGAGACACTTCAGCGACGTGTGACTAGCCCAAGGTCACCCAGCAGCTGCATGTGGAGGAGTGGGGAAGCGAACCCGGTTCACCAGATTATGAGTCCACCACTCTTAACCACTACACCACGCTTGTCCTTTTCTTTTTATTTCTGTAGACCCTAACAACATCCACCCATAAAAGCGTACCAAATGCATCCTTACCAAGTTTATACACATGAGGGTATTTGCATAAAAATGAGGCTCACCAATCATTTGTACAAGGTAAAAAGTATGCTTTAAGACATAAATGAAGACTTTAAAAATCAAATCCTTCTTCCAATATTGACAACTAAAGCTTTTTTAAAGAAAGAAAGAGGTCTCCCAAGCAAACCTCTGAAATGCCCCATGAAATTTGAGAAAAAACACTTGGGGAATTCATAAAGAAATATCATGAAGCGCATGGCCAAATATTCATCTTATTCGGCCATATCCATGGCCAAATATTCATCTTATTCGGCCTCACCCTAATATGAAGTCCAAGAAACCCATGTTTCCAAACAGCTTTCTCTGTCAAACTATTGAAAATCAATCTAATCATGGAGAAATGCTTCTTGGAAACAAAATATAGTCAAACCTCGGTTCCTGAACAGCTCCGTTTTGGAACTTTTTGGCTCTTGAACTCCGAAAACCTGGAAGTAAATGCTCCAGTTTTCGAACGTTTTTTGGAAGCCGAACATCTGACGCTGTTTCCACTTGAGTGCAGGAAGCTCCTGCAACCAATTGGAAGCTGAGTCTCAGTTGTCGAACATTTTGGAAACTGAACGGGCTTCTGGAATGGATTACATTCAACAACCGAGGTTTGACTGTAACTTAATCTGTTATAACCCTTAAGTACCAAATAAATTGCCAATTAGCATATAAACTAGATATATTAATTGTGCCCCTGACATTAATTCAAATTTTAAGCAGTTAATTATATAGCAAAAATTATGGATGATTTGGGCCTACTGATAAATTACAAGTATGAATCTGGATATCCACAGTGTTAAATTCCACTTGTCTTTGTACGAAGCCATGAATCTCTGTTCTTCCGAAGGCTCCAAACACAAATCAAAGATCAACGGAGAGGGAAGCCCTGCCTCCTACCTTTCTCTAAACCAGCCATGCTGAAGGGAATCCCATTTACCCTCACCTGTGATTGGGGAGACAGGTACAATATTATAATCCAAGTAATAAATTCCTGAGGAAACCCAAATTAAAAAAAACCCCCGAAAGAAACAGCCAATATATATTATAAAATGCTGTTTCAGCATCGAGGGGGGTTGGGAATCAAAGCATCATCATTTCTTTCACTCTTTAAAGCCACTGGATTTACTACTAGTCTTAAATTACGTGCACCCTGCCTTTGGCAAACAAAGTCCACCTGATATATCACACCGTGCAAGGTGCAAGCAAGGATTGATGGTATTATCTTGGCATCTACATTAATTAAGGAGATTGACCTGTAATTTGCACCATTACCAGATTTGGGAATAGCAATATAAACATCATACAGTGAAGATGGTGAGGGTACACATTATGTTAAAGGGAGGGGCAAAAAAGAGACAAAGAATTCTGTCCTGGAAGAGGGCATAACTAGCAGTCCACACCAAAACAATTAACTACGGGTCACTCCACCACTGCCAACCATACATACTAAAGGTTAATCCTGAATGAATGTAACACTCTCTGAGCTGAAAGTCCTTCCCTTTAGCTCAAGTGTGTAGAATCCCATTATCCTTCTGTGTTTTTCTATACAGTATAAGCAGCTTTGGAACCCACCTAGTGAAAAGCAGGGTGTTACTGTTTGAAGTATATTAATAGCTGTATATAGTTAGTTACTTAGCAATGGAGACAACACACCTACATATATTCACTCTCATATTTATTTATTGAATTGGCATATTGCAGGACCGAGCATTTGGGGGGGGGGGGAGTTCTAGGGCTAAGCCCTGGTGAGCCTTGCTCAGTAAACCTTTGCTTTAATAGCATGAGCAACCATGGGAATAGTGCAGCCTCTAATTCAGGTTTTCCCTTCTTTCTGGATAAGCCCTCATCTTTTGTGGCAATTAGTTTGGGGAACCAAATCAAGACGTGATTTTATGGATCACCAGAGTATATGGGACCACTCAAGCTAGGTACAGTCAGAGTTCCTTGAAAGATCTGCATGTATCCTATTTCTGATCTCAATGGCAGAGATCCCTTTCCTTGCCCCCCAAAACAGCGAGGGATCAAATCAGCACCTCACTTTTCCTGAGCTTCTTCCAGATTGGAAAAGGCTCCATCAATATTTGATAAAGGGTATTATCAACATTTGCTGAGCACCAGTCTACACAGGGGTTGAATTCATAAGCCCAAGTCAGCCCAAGACATTTTGCTGCCTGAGGCAAAGGAAAAGATCTCAGTGGATGTAGGAAATACATCCAATGGAAGCCCAAAGAAAGTTAGAGACAATGTGTGGGGAACTTTTTTCAGCCTGTGGGCCACACGTCCTTCTGTACAACCTCCCAAGGGCCACATCACAGTGATGGGTGTGTCCAGAAGCAGAAGTGGGTGGTGCAACAAATGCAAATTCTGCTTAAGGCTCCATTCTACATAGACTCCTCTTTATCCTCCAGCCAGATGAGCAAGAGACATTAGCAGAGTTCAACAACACTTTTCAGCCAGGCACAAACACACAGCTGTCATGCTCTAGTGAGTGCCCTCAGGCGGTTGGGTTCCGATTGGCATAAGCCTCTTACCAAAATACTCACCAACGAGGACAGGGTTACAGATGCAATGCAGTTCAGACAAACTAAGGTCAAGAACAGTGTATCAGTCTTGATCCAAAATCCAATCCAGACATAAGGTCAGGCAGGAATCCAAGGTCAATATCACAGAGTGTTCAGGCAACATACAACACAGTAAGCAGGGGACTAGACTCTGGAATGAAGAACCACAGACCTCTGTTGTTTCCAGCAACTCAAGAAGGAAGCATTATATATCCTTCCTGGGCCATAACCTAACCACAGCTGTTGGCAGAGATTTCAGTGATTCCTTCCCATAGCTGTCAACTTTTCTCTTTTCTTGCGAGGAATCCTATTCGGAATAAGGGGATTTCCCTTTAAAAAAAGGGAAACGTTGACAGCTATGTTCCTTACTCATCAGGAGACACCTTACTCATGAACTATGTGATAACTCTGGGTCCATAACACACACTATGTTGTTGCTCTTTGGCTCTCTGTTCTCAAGGACTGTGTGGCAATGGCTCTGCCTCCTTTGATAGCTCCAGTGTTCTTCAGCAGGTCTCAGTCCCTAGGGGCTTCAAGGGAACCCTCAGCAGTGGGTCCAGGAGACCCAGGCTGCTCCTCCTCAACCTGTGGGGTGCCTGGTTCATCCTCTGAGGCCTTTGTGTCTAGTATCAGGTCAGGACTAGGCATGACATCAGGATGTGAACCAGGACCGGCGAGGGGTGTGGCCTGGAGTTTTGGGGTAGCCAGGTAGAGTTCCAAAGACCAGACAGACTGGCCCAGGGGGACCTACATTTGGCTCCTAAGCCTGATGTTTCCCACCTCTATTATAGTCCCTAAGGATGTATCATCTACCCAAAGTTGTTCTCAGCTTCACCTTCTCACTCTTTCTTTTATCACTCCCCCCGCCCATTCACTACCAGCACGTGCTCAGCACCCACTTGATCTTTTTCTTCTTAGTTACCGCATATGTGGAACCTATCAGTCATGACTGCTTAGAGATTGGCTTTTTGCCAGGAATAGCTCCCAAGGTCCTGAGAACGTGTTTGAAAGCTTGGTAACTCTTTGGGACGGGGTGTGTGTGTGAGAGAGACGCCTTCACTAAAATTACAATGTGCCATATAAGAAGCCTTCTGATATGAATACATTTTCTTTAAATGCACCCCAAGAGTGGATCTGTTTGCTGTAGATATGTTACAGAACTCTTCTGGTTTAAAACAGGGGGCTGAAGGTAATCTTGCTTAAGTTTCTATTATTACTTAGCCTTTGTGCCCCCATCGTGTAAGAGGTTTAGACGAGTTGTCAGTACAGGGTTTGTTTGTGTGTGTGGATAGAAGCCACTGAAGATGGGAAATGAGGTAGATGAATAAAACACTGGAATTTAGGGTACTTGCTGTGTGCTATGCAATGGGCGCCAATGAATCAGCACCTGCCGAAGATATTCTGACCCAAGACGCCCACCACTGGTATACCAAATTTATGAAAGAGTGTCCATCGGGGCAACTGAGCCTGCATGAATTCAAGGCGCTTCTGGGTCTCACTGGTTTGAGTCCACAGGCAAATCATTATGTCGATCAAGTGTTCAACACATTTGACTTAAACAAGGTAAGCCCAATTTTATACCTTGATGCTAGGGTAGCTACCATTTAAATGCACTCTAAAAACAGCAGAATGGCTCACAGGCCTATGCTGTAAAGATAGTATTTTGCTATGCTCAATCTGGCTGCCTCTATAAGCATTCCTAATTATTGTCATCATCTATTTATGTGGAAGTATTTAAAACATAGATATGCCAGATAGATTAGATAGCTAGATAGATATCTAGATAGATGATGGAAAAAAGAATGAAGCCAGTCTGAAAATTATGTTATATATATATATATATATATATATATATATATATATATATTTCCCCAGTTAACCATTATCTCAATTGCTGGCAGTTGCTACTATAGTTTGAAAGCACTTTCAAAATACTCAAGAGTATATTATCACAATTTCAACCCATAGAGATAGGAGGAGAATATTTTTTTTTGCTGTCGAAAATGGGAATTGAAGTATTGAGCAAACACTGCATGACCTGCCCTAAGCCTTGCTGAATATATAGAATCTTAAGCCCTACTCCATTAAAATTAATGGGAACTTCACAATTGGCTTATAAAGAAACAGGACTGTCTAGTGTCTTTTATTCACAAAACTGAAATCCTATTTGAAGACCCCTTTTTCTGTTTGCTATTTCAATTCAGTCCCACTGGCTGTCAGGTCAATGCAATCTTCTATAAGATAATCAAATTTCTAACATGTCATTAAACCACAAGAAACTGTATTACTACTGAACATATACAGCATTTTAAATAAGCTTTCCACAAGCCATCCATTTATTTTTATTTTTATTTTCTGCTTGTCTGCACTCATTGCAAACTTTCTTTCCAATCAATAGTTATGGCATTGTTTACCCCCTATATAAAATATTAAAATGAAAATAAGTTATTCATTAAACACCACTGGCTTGAATTTCATAACATATTACCGGAATAATAACAGCAACTTACCTGACTTTAACAATAGGATTTGCATAGAGGCACATATATGCAATGGGTATCGCATATGTTAAGAAAATCAAACCCTTCTTTTCAGGCACTGACTCTTGTCTGCTAAAATCAGAGGTCATATATTGCTAATTGTTCATATACAGGCTTGTATTCAATGGCGTCCAACTGCTGTTAGAAGGCACTTTGATTCAGTCAAGATTTCCATAGGTAGAATAGGAAGGGGGTAATTTCCCCCCTGATTTTCCTCTTCCCTTTGAAGCTCCCCAAGGCCTCTAATGTGATCCAAAGAATTGGGATTCAAAGACCCTTCAGAGCAGCTTGGAAGATAGTGTAGGAACGGCAAGGGGATCTCCCTCCCCAGACTTCTGTTGCTGGATCAAGTAGCTGTATCAGCATATTATTATTGTTGTTGTTGTTGTTGTTTTGTTGTTGTTATCATTATTATTTCTTAGTCAACCTTCACTATGAGGGCTCAGGGTGTGCTATAGCAATTTAAAAATACAATCTGAAAATCAGTTTTTATTTGTTATCATGGTATGTATTTTAGTGTTTTATATTATAAACCACCCTGTGATCTTCGGATGAAGAGTGGTATAGATTTCTTTTTTTAAAAAAACCCCAAAATAATAAGGTGGTCCTAAAAATATACATCAGGTGTCAAAGGCCAGGGCAAAGGGGTGTGCCCTCAGCATGTGAAACTGCATCAGGAAGAAGGTACTAGGCATATCTTTGTGTTACGAGAATTCCACAAGGTAGGGGCTGCCACTAAGTCTCCGGCGGTTCCCCTCCTGAACCTTAGAAGTTGCTGAAACTACCAAGAGGACCCCTTCTGCTGATCTTAACAGCCAAGAGGATTGGTAGGGATAGAGACAGTCTTTGAGGCATTTGGGATCTAAGCCCAGTAGTGGTAGTAGTAATAAATTATTATTTATTTGTACCCCACCCATCTGGCTGGGTTTCCCCAGCCACTCTGGGCGGCTTCCAACGAAGATTAAAAATACATTAAAATGTCACATATTAAAAACTTCCCTGAACAGGGCTGCCTTCAGATGTCTTCTGAATGTCAGGTAGTTGTTTATCTCTTTGACATCTGATGGGAGGGCATTCCACAGGGCGGACGCCACTACCGAGAAGACCCTCTGCCTGGTTCCCTGTAGCTTTGCTTCTCGCAATGAGGGAACCGCCAGAAGGCCCTTGGCGCTGGACCTCAGTGTCTGGGAAGAACGATGGGGGTGGAGATGCTCCTTCAGGTATACTGGGCTGAGGCCGTTTAGGGCTTCAAAGGTCAACACCAACACTTTGAATTGTGCTTGGAAACGTACTGGGAGCCAATGTAGGTCTTTCAAGACCAGTGTTATGTGGTCTCGGCGGCCGCCCCCAGTCACCAGTCTAGCTGCCGCATTCTGGATTAGTTGTAGTTTCCGGGTCACCTTCAAAGGTAGCCCCACGTAGAGCGCATTGCAGTAGTCCAAGCAGGAGATAACTAGAGCATGCATCACTCTGGTGAGACAGTCCGCAGGCAGGTAGAGTCTTCAGTATACCTGAAGGAGCGTCTCCACCCCCATTGTTCTGCCCGGACACTGAGGTCCAGCTCCGAAGGCCTTCTGGCAGTTCCGTCACTGCGTGAAGTGAGGTTACAGGGAACCAGGCAGAGGGCCTTCTCGGTAGTGGTGCCCGTCCTGTGGAACGCCCTCCCAGCAGATGTCAAGGAAATAAGCAACTATCTGACTTTTCGAAGACATCTGAAGGCAGCCCTGTTTAGGGAAGTTTTCAATGTCGGATGTTTTATCGCTTTATTATTGTTATTTTTATTATTATTAATTCTGTTGGGAGCTGCCCAGAGTGGCTGGGGAAATCCAGCCAGATGGGCGGGGTATAAATAAATTATTATTATTATTAGTCATTTAGGGCTTGACAGACTAATGTGGGGAGCTTGAATTGGGCTCAGAGAAACATGTGCATGAGTTGGATGCAACCCTTTCCACATTAAGCAAGATACAGAGAAGGATTCAGCTATCAAACCCCATCAGCAGAAGCCCTATGCAAGGTCTTCCACCTGCACAATGCCACTTCCCTCCACTCTCATTCCCCACTCCTGTGTGCCCCACACCCCTGAAATTGGCTCAGGGGATCCCAGGAGAACCACTAGAACAGCACTTTGGGAGAGGGGAGGCAGATAGTTCCTTCAGCAGGCAGTATGCTTGCACCAATAGAACATTTGTAATAGTACATTGTTGAATTCCACCTACTAGATTTTACTACTCTGGATTTTATTCGTAAGTTTTAAATTGCCTTTAAATTTTCTCTTCCCTCTTCTCTGTTTAAAGTGTGTGTGTGTGTGTGTGTGTGTGTGTGTGTGTGTGTAGCAAATTCTAGTAAGAGATCACCTGTGTATCAAAGAGAACTGCCGTGGTTTCAAGAGCTAGAGCAGTATGTGATGGTATTTTTGTTTTCCTCTATTCAGAAATGCAAATGGAAATAAAAAAGCAATTGGAATAGCTTGAGTAGTCCTATAATTAATTCCCCAATCCTAAACAATTTAAAACAAGGACCTATTGGAGGTTATGAAACAAAATGACTGCATAATATAAGTGTTTTATTTAACATGGAACCCTGGGGTAACTAATGCCTCCCAAATTAAGCATTGCATTCAAACTCACGGTACACATTCACCTTTTAAAATGGTTTAGGAGATTTCAAGAGTGATTCATTCCTGCCATTCCTTCAGACTGGGGTAATCCATTTATCAGCATGTACCACTGCTTTACTGATGTTCCATGTGGTATTCCACCTCCTCAATAGCAATTTCAAAACAGCCATAATTTTTTATTGGCCTCCAAAATAAATTCAGAACAGAAGTGCAAGATAAAGTATAGATCAAAATTAAATATGTAAGTAAATAAATCTGCACAAGAGCATATCCAAGCTGCCAGTTCAGTTACTACTTTACAGAGACACACTCCAACTGATTTCAGTGGGGCTCTATTAACATTAAGTGGTTGTGGAATTGTTTTAGAAGCTAGGGTTTGCATCATATTTCTATTCAACAGGGGAACACCAGGTGCACATAATTAGCGCACTAAACCAAGGAACCTAATAGCCAAATGCATGATCTGAAAGATGGGAGGTATTTAGTTCAAATTTAATCCTGGCTAGGAACTCACTAAGGTTGTGTACACACTACAGGTTAATCTAGAATTGAAAGAGACTAGGTTCTTGTTTTTTCTACATGGTACACACTCAATCCAGATCTGCTGCATATTTTTTGCCCCTGAAAAGTGCATCTTGAAAAACTGGTTTCACTCTGAAAATAAAAGCTCATCGCAGATTGAGTCTGCATTACCCTGCAGTGTGTCCATTTGAAAACAGATGTAGCTGTATACCAAGATCACAGACACCACTTCCTTCTTCATTAGCATACATACATACATAATTTTATTTGTATGGCACCTTTAGAAGTAAAACCATGCTCAAGGCTGCTTACAACATGAAAAAAGATACATAATTACAAACATAACAAAATTAGTCATAAACAACCAATAGAACATCAAACCAAATTAAATAATTTCCACATAGAGCATAAGATTTAAAATAAAGATACAAAAATTTAATATCAATTTAAAAAAGAACCCTCCAGAAAACCCCTAAACAATACTGTACTCCAACGCAAGATTCTGCTCAGCAGCCTCATCTTTTGTAACTGGAGTCAATCACGGCCCCACCCTCCCAGGGCAGGTGGGGAATGACCTACAAGGCAGGGAGCAGGTCTTCTAGAACTCACAAACAAGATGGGGCACATGCAGGAAGGAAAATGTGTGAATAACCTAGTCAAGGGGAGGGTTTTCAAATGCATATCAAGTAATCACACCCCTCCTTGTGGGTGATAGGATCTAGAATCAATCTAGATTGAAAGCAACATGTTGAGGATGAGCATGAATGATTCCAGGTTGAGAGAAAAACCTACATTTTTGTGCAGACAAAATGTAATCCGAACTTAACAATACTGCCTTAGTTTACACGATAGTTGTAAAGACTCTTGAGATAATGTTTGAG